TCCCTTAGCATTGCGGATCACATCCCCACCAGTCATGGTTGCACGGGGCCACATGGCTCGAGCGTAATCACTCACGTCGGCCGTTTCTGCCTCCTGTCCCTGTCTTTTCCCTCTTGTTTTACAGCCAGTATTGCAGACCACATCCCCACCATTTGTGGTTTGCACGGGGCCACGTGGCTCGAGCTTAAAACACACCCCGGCCGTGTCTGCCTCCTGTCCCTGTCTTTTTCCTCTTCTTTTCGTGCCAGTATTGCAGACCACATCCCCACCAGTCGTGGCGTACACGGGGCCACATGGCTCAAGCTCGAGCACACCCCCTCGTATCGTATCCCACTCCCCATGCCTCTCCTCATAATCTTCATGCCTCATGCCTCTTGCTTTCCCTTCCCGTACTTCCCTCTCAGCATTGCGGATCACATTCCCACCAATCGCGACGTGCATGGGGCCAGATGGCTCAAGCAGGCCCAACAGGCTAGGGCTCAAGCTGTTGCCGCCACAACTGGCCCGAGCACCACAGCAGCCTTGGCAACTTCCACGGGCCTCACATCCTGGCCCGCCAAGTTTCTGCCCCTGGGTTTCCTACGAGTGTTCCACCCTTCAGCTGCTACCAGTGCCACTGCCACGGCCACCAACGCCACCGCGACAACCACAGCCACAGGTGCCAAAAGACGACCAGTCAAAGCGAAAGCAGGAGCTCCACTAGAAACAGCAGCAGCAGCAGCTGAAACCAGCAGCGCTAGCAGCACCACCGCAGCAGCCGACGCCTCACAGGCTCGGGCCAAGCCTGTGTCCAAGGCTGGGCGCATGCCTCGGGTTTCGTCCTTGCCCTCTTCGACCTCCCGCCTCTCCAGAGTCCCCAGCATGAAGCGATCGCCTAGTTTAAAACCATCACCTAGTTTGAAGCGATCACCTAGTCTCAGACGCCTGGGAAGCACAAGAGGGGCAGGAAGTGAGGGGAAAGGTGTAGACGGGGCGAGAGAAGGGGAAAAAAGAGGCGTTATGGGATGGCTTGGGCTAAGTTCTGGCAAATTGGGGGATGTGGCGAGTCAGAGGCTGTACCCGCAGTGCGTTGACTGCTCCGCACGCCAGGCGGCTGCACTGAGGCACCAGCGCCGCACACTCATGCCGCACCGACGCTCCGGATGGCCCCTGGTGAGATTCCATTGCTCAGGGTTCAGGGTTTAAAGCGTTGGACTGCAGGCGTGTTTCTGAGGGACTGTGATTGGCAAATGTGGGCACGTGGTGGATCATAAACGGCTGGGGCATGTGGAGAATCAAAGGGATGCTGTGAGCCAGACGCGTTCTGCGAGCCAGCGGCATGCTGTGAGTCAGAGGCTTGCTGTGAGTCAGAGGCATGCTGTGCAGGGCTCACGCTAAGCTTTTTTGGAGCTCTGTTTCTCCCGGATTCCCCACCCCCCTGCACCCTGATTCGTCCGGATTTCAGGGTAGTTGATTTCTGTTTCATCCGGATTCGGGTACAAAGTTACTTTTAGCCGAGTCACGATGTTCAAGGTCGAAACAGGGTAACATTTGCGGCGTGCCAAAAAAAATAAGTACTTTTGGATTTGCTACGTTAAGAGTGTTAATTTCTTCCACCATTTTTCTGACAAACCCGCTAATGTAGGGTAGAATCTGTGTCAGCTTTCTGGGTTGCGAGAAGGGGAAAGAGGGGAACGTGGCTAAACGTTTTTAGCCAATTCTTCCTAGCTGCGTAGGCGTGCAGGGATGTAGGAGGAATTTGCCAGTCTGTGAGGGACGCCAAATATTCTAGGTTTAGGGTGGCCCGGATGGGAAGAGTCTCTCTGTGTAAAACTCTCTAGGTGTAAGGGAGACTTAGTCAAATTCTCTATGTTATAGGGTAAAGGTAGGAATGTTCCTGCAATGAGGACTAGCCGAAATTTATAAGTTTCGTGGGTGCGGGTAGGAGGCCTATCTCTATTTTGGAGGGACTTAGCCGAATTCCTCTATGGTCCAGGAAGGAATGTTCCTGGCTGTGACAAACTTAGCCGAAATTCTGGGTTTCGGGTGGTGCGGGTGAGAGGAGTACGGTATGTCTGTGTGTGGGGGACTTCACCATTTTTGCTTGGTTGCGGGGTTAAGGAAGGAATGCTGCTGGAAGTTGGGGACTTCGACGAATTTTCTGAGTTGTGCGGGTGTGGGAGGAGTTATAACTGTGTGTGAGGGACTTAGCCGAATTTCCTGGGTTCGGGGGCTCCGTGCGATTGTTTCTGAAAGTTGGGGACTTCGCCGGTAAAATGTCTCTGCCACCCTGGGTGCGAGGAGGGGGGAAGGGGAGGGGGGGGGGGGGGGGGGGGGGGGGGGGGGTGTATTTATTGGCAGTTGCAGCCGGATTGCCCCCCCAGCGAATTCTGATCTGCCCGGAGCCCCCCGTAACGCCACTTCTATAAATTCCGGAAACCCCGATAACTCGACCCGTTCAAATTCCGGAACGAGCCCAGCGCCAACTCTTAATGTTTTTTCATTCCGGGTAATTACCCTTGAAAAATAGGCCCTGATGCTGTGAGTCAGAGGCATGCTGTGAGTCAGAGGCATGCTGTGAGTCAGAGGCATGCTGTGAGTCAGAGGCATGCTGTGAGTCAGAGGCATGCTGTGAGTCAGAGGCATGCTGTGAGTCAGAGGTATGCTGTGAGTCAGAGGCTGCACCCGCACTGACTGGTGAGCGCTGACTGCTCCTCGCACCAGTCAGCTGCAGTGAGAATCCAGAGCCGCACCGACGGTCCAGATGGACTCTGGTGAGTTTTGTTTTTTCTGTGCCGAACCCGCAGAGTAGCATCCCTCCAGGCCTCCGTGCTTGCACTCATTCAGTGCTGTTACACTTACCATGCTCCCTCACTCCACCCATACCATCCCTCCATGCCTCCCTCACTCCACCCATACCATCCCTCCATGCCTCCCTCACTCCACCCATACCATCCCTCCATGCCTCCCTCACTCCACCCATACCATCCCTCCATGCCTCCCTCACTCCACCCATACCATTCCCTCCATGCCTCCCTCACTCCACCCATACCATCCCTCCATGCCTCCCTCACTCCACCCATACCATCCCTCCATGCCTCCCTCACTTCACCCATACCATCCCCCCATTCCCCCCTCGCTGCAGCCGTGCCTCTTAGGCGGATTCTTCCTACACCCACAGCTGATGATGATGCAAGGAGAGTACTGTAGGGCCAGCAGTAGCAGCTCTCGTCCCAAGTAGCACGCACCCTTCTCTTTTCATCCCATCTGCTCTTGCTGTGTGCCGTGTGCAGCCGTGCCTCTTTGGCGGATTCTTCCTACACCCGCAGCTGATGATGCAAGGAGAAGGAAGTGGGCCCAGCAGTACAGTGGGGGCAGCTGCATGATGCAATACCTCTACAGTAAATCTGACGATTGAATTCATTGGCCGTTGTACAGCTTCTTTTGCCAGTGTAGGCAGTATTGGAGGGACATGCATGAATTCATAGACTACAAGGAACAACAATGCACCTTACCAACAAGGGTTAATCCAAACGATTTCCCACAAGCCTCGGCTCGAAACACACACTTTCTTTGGGCAAACCAAACACTTTCTTCACGCCCTACTGAAGCCGGCTTCATCGAACCGACACCCAAGGCGAAGCAGCCAACCCGGATGCTGTTGATGGGAGTCCTGCTGATGTTGCTGCTGCTGCTGATGCTGCTGCTGCTGCTGCTGCTAGTGATGGTGATGATGATGGTGCGAGGGTGGAGGATAGGGAGGGCGAGTGTGCGCTGATCACATGGGGGATCATGCGGGGGATCATGCGGTTCTGGTCATGGTATCGTGGTGGAAGCATCAAGCACTCTTAAAGCCAAGCAGATTAGCGGCAATTTGCCGAGCGGACAACTGGGGAGCAGCAGGAGGCCCGGATGCTGTTGAATGTAACGCTTCTGCTACTGCGGCTGCCGGTGATGCTGACGGGGTGGAGGGTAGGGAGTGCGAGTGTGCGAGGATCATGCGGGGAAAGAGAGAGAATGGGCGGCTGGGCAGGAGGGTGGCGTTTCTTGTCGCGTTTTGGTGGTGGGCGGTGGGGTGGGATGCTGATGGGTGTGATAGGATGGTAGGAGTTACATTGATGAGAGGGCTTCAGGGAAAGCAGATATGGAAATGGTGGAGGGGAGGGAGAGGGGATGGAGGTGGGTGGAAACGGTTGGGAGGGGGGAGGGGTGGATGGGGAGAATTGAAAGAGGGTAGATATATAGGTGAGTACAAATGCGGCGAAGAACCAACACAAGTCGGTACGTTGAGCAGCGACGTGAAAAGAGGAAAAGAGAAACGAGGAGAAGGGAAGACAACTTCACGAAGTCAAGCTAGCAAAAAAAAATCATCAAATCCGCCAGAAAAATCTTCGAGACTAAAAGCCCGCCCGTCGCAGATTGGTAGTTGACTCCCGACGCCCTAAAACGGAGGTCAAACCAACCGAAAGGAGGGATCTGGATCCGTCAAAACCACCTGTCCACCGTCAGTGCTGGCCTACCTACCGGCTAGCCGACTGATTGAACCGTCAGAACTACCTGTCCGATTGCCGGCTCTACCGTCAGAGTCGGCCTACCTGTCGGCGATATCGGTGTGAAACCCTTGCCGCTGCTTGTGCTTCGGGTTGGTCGCGCAGACAACGTACACCCGCCCTCGCCGCCGCACCACGCGGCACTGCTCGCACAGCTTCTTAACCGACGCGCGAACCTTCATCGCGACTCGCGCTTCTGTTCGCGCTGTCTACTAATCGCGCTGCGTGAATGGTAATGGGGTGATGCCACTGCGCGGATAGATGGAGGAAGGTGCAGCGAAGGTGAGCGCGCTAAAGTTTGAGGCGATTTATGAAGCTAACCGTGGCATCTGAATGGGTTCCACGAGAAGGCAAACCTTATAAAATTAATTTTAACCTCTCCTCGTGAGACATTGCATAACCAGCATTTATGAAGCTGATTAAATATTACGTATAGTACCATGGCTTAACGAGTCACTCACAGAAGAATCCGTCCTTTTCCCAAGTTTCAGACAAAACACCACTTTGAAAGCATACAATAATGAAGCGATTTTGCCATTCCAACTACACACCACCATGGAAAGTACTAGTTTGGATCCATGACTAGTAGCATCCATAAGGGGCCTAAGGGGCCGTCCATATATTAAAAAAGAAAACTTTGAGCTACCAAGCTGCTATGATGCGGCATGCTTCGTCAGCATGTGCTGCTTGAGGCCCTCGCCAGACTTGAACTTCCTGGAAGTGAGGGGAGGAGACGGAAAGATGGGAAATATTGTTGTGAGTGGGAACGGGATGTGAGAGGTGTGTGTGGGAGTGTGTTCGGGGCTAGGATTGGGGGGGTTGGGGGTTTGGGGTGGGGGGGGGGGGGAGGGAAAGGGGGTGTGGGGGGGGGACTGCTTCAGGCCCTCGTCTGACCGGAACTTCCTCGGAGTGAGGGGGACAAGACGGAGTGGCACGAGAGGGGACGGGTGAGAGGGAGGGAGCGGGTGAGGGAGTGGAGGAGCGAGTTGTGGGGTTTCCATGATCTTGTTCAAGAGAGAAAGGATTCGCACTCAATGCAACCACACATGCGGCACTCACTTGTTGCAGGTTCCGCAGACCACATTGGCATCTGGAGTGGCTGCTTTGGCAGCTTTGGTGGCTGCTTGGGCTGCTTTGGCTGGCGTTGAAGCCTTCGCAGGTGCAGCTACTTTGGCAGGTGTTGCCGCTGTAGCAGGGGAGGCGGCAGGAGCCGCTTTAGCGAGAGCAGAAGCAGCCTTGGCAAGGGTGGAGCTGGGTGTGGGGGGGTTGGGCCCTGGCTTGGCTGGGGTGGGTGCCGGGGCGCGGGGCACTGGGGTGGTTGCTGGTGTGGTGGGCTGCATGGGATGAGAGTAGCAGCAAAAAAAAGGAGAGGGGCGGGAGAAAAGGAGGAAGCTTGAAGGGCGCAGGGGTGGAAGAGAGGGGGATGAATTGAGAGGGAGGGGGTTAAAAACCCGATGTTGATCCCATCATCTCGTGTGCATACCATGGCCTCATGTCCATCCCGGCCATCCCGGCCATCCCGGCCATCCCGGCCATCCCGGCCATCCCGGCCATCCCGGCCATCCCGTCCATCCCGGCCATCCCGGCCATCCCGGCCATCCCGGCCATCCCGTCCATCCCGGCCATCCCGGCCATCCCGGCCATCCCGTCCATCCCATCTATTCCTAACAACATGAATGTGCCTTACAGTTACATCCCATCAACATGGCTCACCGTTGCCTCTTCCTTGGCCGGAGTTCCATCCTTCCCCTGCTTCTGCCTTCTTCTCTTCTTCTTCCCCTCGCCCGCCTCCCCTCCCGGAGTCCCCTCCCCCTCCCCATCCACCCCATTCCCCTTTGGACTCGCCTCAACCTCCCCCGCTTTCCTCTTCCCATCACCACCGTTTGCAACCCCTGCCTTTGTCCCCGTTGCCCCCGCTCCTCCCTTGCTCCCCTCTCCGGCTTCTTTCTCTGCTGCTCCTGGAGTGAGGGCTGCCAGCTTTGCCGCTGCCTTCTGAGCCTTGCTCGCTTCTGAAATCATGGAACAGGGGATAAGGGAGGAAGAGAGGAAGGACGGGCAAGAGTCAAGGGGAGGGGAGAACACAGCTGCTGCTCCTGTTGCGAGGGCGGCCAGCTTCGCTGCTGCTTTCTTTGCCTCTGGAATCAGGGGAGGAGGGATTCTGAAAGAGGGATGGCGAATGAGGGATGGCGAATGAGGGAAAACGAGGTGGGGAAAAGAGAAACGGGAAAGTGGGAGCACAAAAGGAGAAGAAGTGAGAGAAGAGGCACGGTGGCTTCTTTCCCTCCAGAATTACGGAGGGATGCGGCAGGAAAGGGAGAGGAAAGGCAAGAGGCGAGTCAGACGCTATGTCATGTGATGCTGCTGCATGACATGCTGCTACATGACATGCTGCTGCATGACATACTGCTACATGACATGCTGCTACATGACATGCTGCTACATGACATGCTGCTACATGACATGCTGCTACATGACATGCTGCTACATGACATGCTACATGACATGCTGCTACATGACATGCTACATGACATGCTGCTACATGGCATGCTGCTGCATGACATGCTGCTACATGACATGCTGCTACATGACATGCTACATGACATGCTGCTAAATGGCATGCTGCTACATGACATGCTGCTACATGGCATGCTGCTACATGACATGCTGCTATGTTATCTCACCCGGAACGCAACAGGACTCATGCCTAGTAGCAAGCGCCGCCTGCAGCACTGCTATCTCTGCTGCTGCTTCGCATGCTGCCAGCCTTGCATGCAGCCCGAACATGGTGTCAGACTCACTCCTCACTCACTGAAACGGACCACAAGACTCACTCCTAGTAGCAAGCTCCGCCTGCAGCGCTGCTATCTCCGCCGCTGCCTCCCTCTCGATTGCCTCCTCATCCTCCTCCTCCTCTTCTTCCTCCTCTTCCTCCAACTCCTCATCAGCAAAGGGGTCCTCCTCAGCCTCTGCAATCAGAAAATACAAGGTCGGAAGAGAGTGGAGATAAGGCAATACACGAGGGCTGCTATCTCTGGCAATAGAGAGGGAGGGAGGAACAATGCAACAAGCAAACGGGGTTACTCCAAGTTACCAGGTCATACAGGCATAGAAGGGTGTGAGGCCCATGCCTCCCCTGTGGGAAGCTACCGGGTTACCAGGTTACAGGCCAGTGTGAAGTGCTTACCTCCCCCGTCCGGGTACTCCTGCATGGTCGTGTACCCGTTGAGAAACACACTCCCAGTGTCGCCTTGTGATAGAGAAAGCCATACACGAGTACCACATCACACGAGTACCACATCACACGAGTACCACATCACACAGCAAAGGACAGGTGGCGTTTGTCCGTACCTCCCCCGTCGGGGTACTCCTGCATGCTCTTATACCCGCTGAGAAACACACTGCCCGTGCCGCCATGGGACAGCGAGAAGGGCCGCTCCAACACCATCTGCACGCCCGCCTGCTCCCTCTCCCCTGCTTGCTCCCTCTCCCCTGCTTGCTCCCTCTCCCCTGCTTGCTCCCTCTCCCCTGCCTGCTCCCTCTCCCCTGCTTGCTCCCTCTCCCCTGCCTGCTCCCTCTCCCCTGCTTGCTCCCTCTCCCCTGCTTGCTCCCTCTCCCCTGCTTGCTCCCTCTCCCCTGCTTGCTCCCTCTCCCCTGCTTGCTCCCTCTCCCCTGCTTGCTCCCTCTCCCCTGCTTGCTCCCTCTCCCCTGCCTGCTCCCTCTCCCCTGCTTGCTCCCTCTCCCCTGCTTGCTCCCTCTCCCCTGCTTGCTCCCTCTCCCCTGCTTGCTCCCTCTCCCCTGCTTGCTCCCTCACCGACCTTTTCAAAGCAACAGGCACACCGGGTTACAGGGCTACTGAGTTACAGGGTTACCACCATAAAAGGGTCTGAGGCCCGTACCTCCCCCGTCGGGGTACTCCTGCATGGTCTTGTACCCGCTCAGGAACACACTGCCCGTGCCGCCGTGCGACAGCGAGAAGGGCCTCTCCAACACCATCTGCACGCCCGCCTGCTCCCTCTCCCCCGCCTGCAAAACCGCCACCACCGCACTGAACCCCTCCGCACCCCCCCCATTCACGTTCTTCTTCTCCTCATCTTCCCGCATCTCATCGTCGCTGTCATCAGTGGGTGGGGCGGTGGTGATAGTGACGGCCACTCTTTCCCCTGCCTTTGGGGAGGGGCCCAGAGCCACCTGAGGAAGGCAGCGATGAGAGAAGGGGGAGAGGGAGGGGGGGGATGGCAGTGATGCTCTTTCTCTCATCTTCCCCCATCTAATCGTTGGGGCGGTGATGATTGTGACTGCCACCCGCTCCCTGCCTTTGGGGAGGGACCCAGGGCCACCTGATCAGGTGCAGGAGACAAAAGCAGCAAGAATTTAAAACGACCTGATGTGGCATTTTGGGTGTGGGGTGTCGGATTTTAGGTGTCTTTCTGCTTGCCAGTACCTTCACCGCTCAGGGTTCGGGGTTTAAAGCCGCAAGCTGTTGCACTATTCGCTCGTTACGGGAAAAATGCTACAGTATCTTGCCTCGTACATGTGCACTACAGTACCTGCGTGATGTGCACGTAGTCCGCGATCTCACGAGGATCCACCTCCACCTTGTCGCCCGCCCTCACCTCCACGCCTGCCGTTAGGGTTCAATGGGGGAAGGGACGAATGGGGACAGGGGGAAAGAGGGGGATAGAAGGGGAGGAAGGGGGGAGGGGGGGGGAGGGGGGGGGGGGGATGTGAGTCTTGGGTCGACCCTCCACCGTCTCACCCGCCTTCACCTCCATGACTGGCGGTAGGGTTTCATTGGGGGAAGGGACAGATGGGGGGCGACAGAGGAGGGGGGGAAGGTGGGGAGAGGGGAGGAGGAGGGAATGGTGAGTCTTTGGTGGACCCTCCACCTTCTCACCCGCCTTCACCTCCACTCCGGTTGGTGTTCCGTTTTGGTGGGGGCGAGAGTGGGGGAACGGAAGGAGGGCGGAAGATGAGATTTGTGACCATTGGCCAGCTGACACGGGTTCACATCGGGTTGAGTCGACTCAACTAAGAGCTTTGGCCAGCTGGCAAGGGTTCACAATTGGGCGGCGGCGAGAACGTTTTAGTGCAGCGGCGTGAGTATGCGTGCGAGAATAGAGATCGGACGGAAAAAGGTTCATCTCACCCCAGAAGCGCATCAAGACCGACATTGTGCGGTAATTCTCGTTACAAGCCGATTCGCCGCCTCAACGAAACTATATCTAGACGCGGCAGTCTACGGGGTGCTCTGACGATGGTCGGAAGGGGCGAAAGCTTTTGAGTCTGACTCAAAATCAGAAACACGGCTGTGTGGAGATGGGAAGTGGGTGGGCTCGACAGAAGCCGACACTCCACACGAGAACTGGCAAATTCGGTCCGGAGCACTTAGTAAAGCCTCACCAAAATGGGAGTTAGTCTATGGTGGTGGTGATTGGGTTGCGGAAAAAGGTTTGGGGTTTCTAATGGTTTGAGGTACAACCTGTGAAAGCTTGGCGAAGTCTGCGAGATGCTATGCTGCCGTGGAGAACGAAGCTCTGCGGAACGAATTGCCCATCCGTCGAGGCGGGGTTTGGGGAGTAGCAACCTGTAGCTACACCTACGTACACCGAGTTGTTGACAGTCATAAGACCAAATGGTAAACGTCATGCACAAAAACATTTGTGATAAGAAATACGTCAATCCCATAACTACATGCCATTCCAGCCATTAAAGCCAAACATACAAGGTGACAAGAGTTTCTACGCATGATATGAAACTCACTAATGAATAAATCCCACTTCGAGGCAAAATCCTTATTCCATTGCCTATGAAGAGGTGTGAGGGTAGTAAGTAACAGTGCGGCCATTGAGGGGCTCGGGAAGGCGATTGTCAGTGCGCTCAGTGTTTTGCTTGGCGATCAGGTTCATGAAAGTGATGGCCTGTGAATAACAGAGAAAGGGGTGCAAAACAATGTTGTGGATTGGCACAAAAGGGGGGGGGGGGGGGAGGGGGGGAGGGGGGGAGGGGAGCAAATCAAGGGGAGGATTAGAAGGGGTGGATATGACATGGCCAAAACAGAGAGCTATGGAATGGAGCTTTTGTAAAGGACGTATTAGTTTAATCACCTGGCCCACGGCGAGGAACTTGGCCTTGCGCAGCACGTGCCACTCAACAATCTCGCTGCATGCAGGCGTGGTGAGTGAGCCGGGGTAGCGCCAGAAGCCCATGGACGTGTCAATCATCTCCGTCCAAAACTTCTCGGGAACGTCAATCGTCGCGTTGGCCTCCACTTCCGCCGGAATCTTGCCCTGCCAGCTGAGAACAGAAGGGAACGTAAGGACAAATATGTGTCGGGAAAGCATCGCGTATCTCTCAACTGGAGTTTTAGCGAATGGCTTTACACGTCGATCCAGTCGGACTTCTCGTCGTGGCGCTGCAGGCGAATCATGACTCCCACGACGGCGAGCGAGGAGTTGTCGGTCTCGTGCTGGTGCACGAAGTGCGCCTCCATGGCCGCGAAGAGCCCGTTGATCGCGTGCTCCGAGAACGAGTGCACGTGCACCTTGAAACGGAAAGAGGGAGCGGGGGGGAGCATGAAGGAGATGCGCTCGATAGTAAGAGGAAGAACCAGCTCCTTCAATCGAAGACATACGCGTACGCGGCGTTGCAACACAAAAGAATGCGCCATACCTGCTTCAGGAAAAAGGTTCCGCTGTTGATGTGAAGCTTGTAGGTCTTCTCCGGGTTCGGGATGACCTCTGCGCAACGCGACGCAAGCCAATAAAATGGGGATACACCGATAGGTGAGAAATTGGAGATATTTTTCATGCACATATTCACACACATGCATCATACACCGCATATTCCCGGCGGAACTCGCAGGAGCGAAACGCGACAGCAACGAAAATGAAGAGCAGATATACGCAAAATCTGCTCGCATTCCCTGATAGAGAATGTAATATTGACCCGCGCGCTTCTAGTAGGACAAGTCTTCAGCAGCATCGAGTTGACCTTGCAGCGTGCGGCGAACGAGGAGCGAAAATTGTACGCGAGTCCGTTGTAGATCGAGACTTACGAACGGTGTATCCGTGGTTGAGGACGGTCGCGGTGGTTGCTGACGTGTCGTAGTCCAGCACGAACTTCTCGGGCTCGCTGACCTCCACCGCCTCGTCCATCACGATGTTGATCGGCGACTGCTTCTCGCCCGTCTGACAATCACCCTGCGAAAATTGACACGAAATATCGCGACGTAGGATTACTTGATGCAGAAAACTTTTCGGGACGACAGAATCTACGCAGCCAGAGAGAAAATCGCGGAAGAAACCCCAGCGATCGGGGGAATGCAGCGACTATGAGTGTTAAAGGCCTCGGCCTGAGGCCGCCACCCCACGTCGGGCGAAACTTGATGGGAATTGGTTCCGTTGCTGATCGGGAGCACTCACATCCCAGTCGAGGCCACTCTGGCTGTAGCTGACTTCGCCGTTGGCGGCGCCGATGACGACGAGGAGCGCGAGAGCGAGGGAGAGACACACGAGATCAGCCATCATGATAAGCTGCGGAGCTTCGTGAGCGTCGCTGGGAGTTCAAGAGAAACGTCTGACTTAAAAGGCCTCCGTAGAACTAAGTGGTTAGGAGGAAATATGGCAGCTGAATGAAGCACGTAAGGGAATCACTCGTCTTTATTGCTCTGCGGGGCAGAAACTCTGGGGAGGGAGAAGCAAGGAGCAGCGAACCCTGTAGAATGGATGGTTCATTCGAAGCCAACCAGATGGCTAGGGGGGGCTGAGCACCTGAATTTGGACGAGCGCGTTTTTTATTACGGTTGAGTTAGGTCTTTCTGTTTCCAGAGAGATCAATATTAATGTGGAATGGTGGGTATGTGCTGGGATCCGCGTGCGCCCTTCCAATGCCAAGGTGAGCGCTGCGCTGGTGGGGGATAAAATGCGAACGAATGCGGTGATGAGAACCCGCGGCTTTCCTGAGAACCCTGGCACGTTGAGTGCGGTTTCCCTTATAGATTCGGGGTAGAATTCCACACTCTATTCTGTCAGGGTTTTTGCCCACATGTTCAAGACCCTCCCTTTGTCACCACCGCCCCCAACCTCTCCTAGGGGAAACTACTTTGTTTGGTCACATCCGTTCCCCAACCTAGTGGGAACCTTGGTATGTGGGGAGTCTGGTTTTCCAACTACAGTGCCCGCTGAGCTGAGCAGAAGCCCATCACACTCGCAGGGCAGGTGAAGTGAAAGATTATGCCAGGGAACATTTACGTTCGAATAGGCTCTGTCCGAACTTCCACCACACTGTACCCGTGATGTTTCAACCAAACCTTACCAAGACCCTTCGGACCGTTCGAACTTTCTCGAATTTGCTGAGGCACCTCAAGAAGTTGAATGGCGGAGGAGTTCCACTCCACTCCACACACCTCCCAAGATTTGCGCGTGTACTTGACATGATGGTGATGGGGTGAATGGCTTATCTTCAGTGATAGCTTATGACAGCCGCGCCGCTTCGCTAGAGGGCGGGGGAATTGTGCTTGTAATAAGTTGGGAAGAGCGGTTCGGCTGCAATCCTGTGCTTGCAAGGGGGGGTTACTGAGTGGCGATTTTGAAAACGTATCCCGCTAGAACTTACTGTATCAGTAGCCCCGACTCTCCTGATCCAAACCAACCTGCACCAAGACACGCACTAAGGGCGGGCTACATTAGGCTCGAGTTGGGGCAGAAAACCGAGCCCGCGATTCAATGTTGGGCTAATTGGCGAATGAAAATGCAAATTTTATGTATTTCTGCCCAACATTCAGCTCCGGGCTCAGTTTTCTGCCCCAGGTCAAGCGAGGCTGATGTTGTGCTGCCCATGCCATCTATCCTAAAAGATATCGTAGGCTGGTCTCGCCTACCAATGTGGTATGCAAATTCCAGGCTGGTGCAAAAAAACGCCCCATGGTAATTGCTTGCTGGTAAGTGCAGGTAACTTTTGTGGCATCAGATCACAGCTCTTGCTGTTCACCAGGAGATCCATGGGTTGGTTCTCAACACTACTTGTTTGAGATGAACACCATTTCATTAAGATATCCCACCTGCCAAGCCAGAGTTCTAAACACACCCACCGTGAAACCTAGTCAATGCATCAACACTCCCACATATAAATTATTTCCCCAAAAATTCCAACGCCAACCCCAAAAATTGCAACGCCAACTCTAAGAAGAGGTGTGAGCATAGTAGGTAACGGTGCGGCCGTTGACGGGCTCAGGAAGACGGTTGTCAGTGCGCTCGACATTGTACTTGGCTATCATGTTCATGAAGGTGATGGTCTGGCCACAACAGAGAAACGGGTGTAGAGAACGAATAGCAGAAGGGGTTACACATCAAAAGGAACATGCGAAAGGACTTCTGTTACAACAAAACAACTTAAAAATCGGGCATCTAGCTTGCTTGTTCGTGTAATGTAAATACCTGGCCCACGGAGAGGAACTTGGCTTTGCGCAACACGTGCCACTCGACGATCTCGTTGCAGTCGGGAGTGGTGAGCGAGCCGGGGTAGCGCCAGAAGCCCATGGAGGTGTCCAACATCTCGGTCCAGAAGTTGTCGGGAATGTCGATGGTGGAGTTCGCGCCCACCTCCGACGGGGTCTTGGGCAGCCAGCTGAGAGACGGAGGAAGCGGATTCGGAGGGTAAGGGACGGACAAATGAGAAAGAGAGGGAAGGGAAGGTCAGGGTGAGGAGGGGACGCCGAGTCAATCTGCAGCTTCCAGGGGGAAAACGTTTAAGCGTGGATGTAGCAGAGGTGCAAGCCTGCTTTTTTTTAATGAATTAACTTTATCGAGCGACGCACGTGTCAATCCAGGCGGACTGCTCGTCGTGGCGCTGCAGGCGAATCATGGCTCCGACGACGGCCAGCTGGTTGGGGTCGCTCTCGTGCACGTGCACGAAGTGAGCCTCCATGGCCGCGAAGAGCCCGTTGATAGCGTGCTCCGAGAAAGAGTGCACGTGCATCTGGCCGAGGGGAAACGAGAGAGAGAGAGAGAGAGAGAGAGAGAGAGAGAGAGAGAGAGAGAGAGAGAGAGAGAGAGAGAGAGAGAGAGAGAGAGAGAGAGAGAGAGAGAGAGAGAGAGAGAGAGAGAGAGAGAGAGAGAGAGATGAGAGAGAGAGATAGAAGGGTATACGGGCAAAAAAGGTGTCGGTCGAATGCGCGTGCACGTAGCCAAAAGGAACGACAGTTCTTAGGAATGGTAAGGGAGAAGAATGCAGAGGGATTTTGTACAGAATCACGATGTGGAAATCACTGGGGTGGGTTTTACCTGGAGCAGGTTATAGACGCCACTGTTGATGTGCAGCTTGTAGGTCTTCTCCGGGTGGGGAACGACCTCTGGAAATAGAGAGAAACAAAATGACAAACATGGAATGAAGAGTAATTAGAATTATCTCGCCATTCAGGATTCCCCTAAGATAAAAATTTGCTCTGCGAAGTGTTATAATCAGTGAACCGTAAACCGACACC